GATCCATCCCAAAATCCCACGGGTTTTTGGGTCTCTGATGATCCCTGGGGAATCCTGGGGGTCCAAGGGGGTCTGGGAGGGAAACTGAGGCACAGCCTGGATCCCGTGGATCCCATTGCTGATCCCATTGATCCCCTTATCGATCCCCTTATCGATCCCCTTATCGATCCCCTTATCGATCCCCTTATCGATCCCCTTATCGATCCCGTTATTGGTCCCGTTATCGATCCAGTTGTTGATCCCATTGTTGATCCAACTGATCCCATGGATCCCATCACGGATCCCATCGCTGATCCCGCTATTGATCCCATTACGGATCCCGTTATTGATCCCGTCTCTGATCCAGTCTTTGCTCTCGTTATTGATCCCATCACTGATCCTGTTATTGATCCCATTATCGATCCCATTGTTGATCCCATCACTGATCCTGTCACTGATCCCGTTATCGATCCCGTCAATGATCCCATTATTCCCCCACCCCCCGTTAACCCTTTCCCCGCTGCCCCAGGCGAGTACATCAAGACCTGGCGGCCCCGTTACTTCCTCCTCAAGAGCGACGGTTCCTTCGTCGGCTACAAGGAGCGGCCGGAGAGCTCCGAGCACGGCCTCCCCCCCCTCAACAACTTCTCCGTGGCCGGTGGGGGCTCGGGATGGGGGGGCTCTGACCCCCAGCCCGGCCCTTTTGCCCGATTTCCCCGGTTTTTTTTTGCTCAGAGTGCCAGCTGATGAGGACGGAGCGGCCGCGCCCCAACACCTTCGTCATCCGCTGCCTGCAGTGGACCACGGTCATCGAGAGGACGTTCCACGTGGACACGCCCCAGGAGCGGTGCGCGGGACCGGGCAGGGGGCTCGGGGGGAGGGAGCCCTGATCCCCCCGGGAGAGACCCCAAATTCCTTGAGGAGAGACCCCAGAACCCCCCGGGAGAGACCCCAAAGGGAGAGACCCCAAAGGGAGAGAGCCCAGATCCCCCCGGGAGAGACCCCAAAGGGAGAGACCCCAGAGGGAGAGACCCCAAATTCCTCTGGGAGAGACCCCAGATCCCCCCGGGAGGGACCCCAAATTCCTCTGGGAGAGACCCCAAAGGGAGAGACCCCAAAGGGAGAGACCCCAAAGGGAGAGACCCCAGATCCCCCCAGGAGAGACCCCAAATTCCTCTGAGAGAGACACCAGATCCCCCTGGGAGAGACCCCAAAGGGAGAGGTGGATCCCTCAGGTGGATCCCACCTGGGATCAGTGTCTGTGACCCCCTGGGATCCACTGGATCCCGTTTCCCGCAGCGAGGAGTGGATCCCAGTTTGGGTACCCGGTTTGGGGTCCCTGGTGATCCGCTGGATCCCGTTTCCCGCAGCGAGGAGCTGATCCCAGTTTGGGGCAGATCCCTTGGGCAGATCCCAGCCTGGGATCGGTGTCTGTGACCCCCTGGGATCCACTGGATCCCGTTTCCCGCAGCAAGGAGGGGATCCCAGTTTTGGGTGGATCCCTGCCTGGGATCGGTGTCTGTGACCCCCCCGGGGATCCACTGGATCCCTTTTCCCGCAGCGAGGAGTGGATCCCAGTTTGGGGCAGATCCCTTGGGCAGATCCCAGCCTGGGATCAGTTTTGTGATCCCAGAGATCCACTGGATCCAGTTTCCCACAGCGAGGAGCGGATCCCAGTTTGGGGTGGATCCCTCAGGTGGATCCCTGCTTGGGATCGGTGTCTGTGACCCCCTGGTGATCCACTGGATCCCGTTTCCCGCGGCGAGGAGCGGATCCCAGTTTTGGGTGGATCCCTGCCTGGGATCAGTGTCTGTGACCCCCGAGGATCCACTGGATCCCTTTTCCCGCGGCGAGGAGCAGATCCCCGTTGGGGGTGGATCCCTTGGGCAGATCCCAGCCTGGGATCAGTTTTGTGATCCCAGGGATCCACTGGATCCCTTTTCCCGCGGCGAGGAGCAGATCCCCGTTGGGGGTGGATCCCTTGGGCAGATCCCAGCCTGGGATCAGTTTTGTGATCCCAGGGATCCACTGGATCCCTTTTCCCGCGGCGAGGAGCAGATCCCCGTTGGGGGTGGATCCCTTGGGCAGATCCCAGCCTGGGATCAGTTTTGTGATCCCAGGGATCCACTGGATCCCCTTTTCCCACAGCGAGGAGTGGATCCCAGTTTGGGATCCCCGATGATCCACTGGATCCCGGTTTCCCACAGCGAGGAGTGGATCCTAGTTTCGGTTGGATCCCTCGGGCAGATCCCAGCCTGGGATCGGTGTCTGTGACCCCCGAGGATCCACTGGATCCCTTTTCCTGCAGCGAGGAGTGGATCCCAGATTGGTACCCCGGTTTGGGGTCCCTGGGGATCCACTGGATCCCTTTTCCCGCAGCGAGGAACGGATCCCAGTTTTGGGTGGATCCCTCGGGTGGATCCCAGCCTGGGATCGGTGTCTGTGATCCCCTGGGATCCACTGGATCCCTTTTCCCGCAGCGAGGAGTGGATCCAGGCCATCCAGGCCGTGGCCAACAGCCTCAAGAGCCGCGAGCCGGCCCCGGAGCCGCCGGAGCTGAGGGGATCCCCCGGGGACGGCGAGGACGCCGGGAGGGCCCGCAGCAAGGCCGTGAGCAACCCCGAAAACACCCCGAAAACCAGCCAAAATATCCGCCCAAAAACACCCTGAAATCCCTAAAAAAACACCCAAAAGTCCCTGAAAGAACACCCCAAAATCCCCCCAAAAACCACCC